TGGTGCTCCAGATACGTGGTGGTCTTCCTGCCTCCAGCCCTGAGCCTCTCTGCCCAATGTCTCCATGTGGTTCCTGCCTGTTGCAGCCTCAGGGTGCCCTGCCTGGCTCAGGCCCTTCCTCTGAGGGTCCCATCGATACCCAGCCCCTCTAGGATCAGTCTTTTGGGGTACAGGAGGCAGGGTAGAATGAAAAGAGTAGGGACTCTGCCCTGGACTGGCCCTAACTCAGTCTCTAGCATGAGGCATGAGCCATCCTGGCTGAGTGTCCTCGGATACTAGGAGCCTGCCGCCTGCCCCCCCCAACCCGGGTGGTGGGCGAGTCGCTAAGCCTGCCTGAGCCTCCATTTTCTTATCGGCACAAATGGAGGACGAAGAACCAGCTTCTGTGGACCTCAGGACATCACCTGAACTATGGATGTCATTGCCACCGAGGTCCAGAGAAACCCGCCCTGGTCCTCTGTCCCTGAGGTCCTAGCAAGGACCAGAAGGTTGAACTAGAGCAGCATTTAGAGGGGAGAGGGAGCACCTGCACGGCCAGCACTTTGTCCTCACAGCCATGCATCACCCCACTACAGGAGGCACCGAGGCTCGGCGGAACAGCCTCTCACCTGCGGACCCAGGAGTCAATGAAGAGGCCGGGGTTTGAACCCTCGACCTCTGAAGCTGAGGTGGAGAGGCCAGGCAGTGACAGAGGTTCCCCTGACTGAGTCAAGGGCATGGTCCCAGGGGGCCTCAGTCCAGGTGCAGAAATTCTACCCTCCTCTCACGTGGGCTCTCTCCCTTGCCTCACCTTTCCTCTTCCTCTTTCCTTGTCGCCTTGCTCCCCTTCACTTGGCCTCACCATGCCTCTCCTCACCTTCCCTTTCTCCCTTCTCTTGCTCTCATAAGTCCCTCATCTCTCCCTGGAGGCTGGGGGGCCATATTAGACAGTGCTGACCCCCCACCACCACCTGTGCCCAGCACAGGGCACTACACACCCCTTAGGTCCTGGCTGGGATGGCGAAGGAGGGATCTGAGCTCTCAGGCCTGCTGCCGATGCCTGCCGGCAGCACCCGGGGCTGCCAGGTGTCCCTCCATGTTCCCGCAGTCCCTCCTCCTTGCCACTGTCTCGTGGCTGCCCCTGCTTCGTGCCACACCCCTGTCCGCTCCCACTCCTCATCGCCGCCACTCTCCTTTCCTTCTGCCTTCAAGGCAGGCCCTCTGCCCCTCAGCCCTTCCCCTCTGTCTGGTCCTCACTTCCTTTCATTTCCTCTTCATCCTCTCTTTCTCCCTCTCTTCCTTTCCTACCTTGGAGGACATGTTCTCAGAGGGAGAACCTCTACCCTGGCTGCCCAGACCAGGCCCAGCCCCCGGGCTCACCTCCGCAAGCAAAACACAAGTTCATCTCAGTTCTCCCCTGCCCCGGGTACAGTGACTGGCCCGCCCGGTCACATTCGTGCCTCCCGGGGGGCATGCACACCCAGGTCTAGACAGTGAGTCAGGTCTGACCCTGCACAGTCCCCAGGCTGGGGCTGGGGCTAGGGCAGCCCGCTCTTCTCCCTGACACCCCTTATCCCCACCCAGGGCCTGTAGAAGGCTTCTTCCCCTTGAGCTCCCACCTGCCACTGCAGACCTCTGTGATCAGCCCTGGCCACCCACCTCTGCTGAGCCGCTCTGAGTCCGACACAGTGTCCCTGGGAGCCATGTCCCCTTCGGCTGTTCTGAGAGATCAAGGAGTTGCAGGGTGCCCCCTTGAGGCTCCAGGAAGGGTGATGGATGAGTGAGTCCCCAGGTGCCCAGGGCACCCTGGCCGCTGCTCACTCCCTGGTCTGCCCGGCTCTGATTCGCCGGCTGGGACTGAAGCCTGAACCTCAGTCCTCTGGGCTCCAGCCCTGACACCCTGCCCAGGGGGCTGGGCCACTCCATCCTTGTACCCCCTGCTGCCGACTCGGCCGGGCTCCCAGGGCAGGATGGGCTCTGGCCGACAGACCACTCGGGACCGCAGGGGTGCCGCCCACCAGACGCCGGCCCTGGCAGGGCGGGGGCCACCCCACCCTCAGGATCTGGGGCCTTGGATGGGCCTGAGACAGCCACGCCCTTTGGACACTGTGGTTTGGGGGCCTGGCTTTCCCTAGCGCCCCTGAGGGCCAGCCCAGCATGCTGCCAGCCCCACCCCTGGCCTACTAGCCACACCAGGGTCCCCAGAGAGCTCCAGAGCCAGTTACTCAGGGTGGGCATCTGCCCGAGGGGCCTTCCAGCCCAGGGAGGGGCAAGCATGGGGGCACCACTGTGTCTCTAGGTGGACGTGTACCTGAGCTGCCTCGGCAGGGGGTCAGCCATGAAGCTCCATGTGCGCAGTAAGGGTATCAGTCAGGGTGACCCCCGCTCCTACCTCTTCATTCTGTGCCAGGCTGCAAGGTGCTCTCGGCCAGCCTGGTCCCCCTCGTAAAGCCAGGCCCCTGAGGGCTGCAGGACTAGGCAGAGAGATGAGAATCCAGTGACCTCTGGAAAGCAGCAGCCAACATCTCCTAGAGGTAGCTGACCATCCCTGACACAAGCCTGGCCCAAGGTGGGCCCAAGGTGGGTCACTGTCACTTGGGACAGTCAGGAGGTCACGTGAGGGTACTCTCACACACCCAGAGGGGGTGCTACAGGGGTGGGGGAGCGTCATCCCTGTGTCTAGACTGCCAGGCTGAAGCCTTGTGCTGGCTGGGGCTGGGAATAGACAGACCTAGAGGAAATAGTGTCTGGGTGGCCACACACTGAGCCCCCGGACTAACACCCAGATTTAGACATGGAGAACGGGAGGGCAGGGGAGGAGACATTTTTCCACTGGCCCACAGCATTGCTTTTAATGAGCCTAAACTGGATTCAGTTTACACCCTGGCTGCGGCTGACACCCAGATGCCCCTCCAGAGCTTGTCACAGAGAAGGCGGAGCTCTGCTCCTGGCATCCCCTGCCCAACCCTGCATCCAGGCAGAAGAGCCCAGGAGGTCCCCAGGGAAGGAGCTGGGGATAGGTGGGTGATGAGGGACTTGCTGGGTGACTTTAGGCAAGCCATTTAACATCTCTGAGCCTGTTTTTCTCATCTGTCAAACAAGGACAAGGGGGAGCCTGTATACCAGGCTCAGGGGAAGTGAAAACTGCTGGATGCTGTAGAGACATGAACTGTGGTGACAGGGCATCACTGTCCCAGAGGTAGTGTGTGCGTGAGCGCAGAACGTCCCCAGCTCTGTTGCTGGGACAGGGTCCTTGGGAGTGTGCAGGTGAGTATGCACTGAGCCTTCTATTCTTGCAAGGGACTCTCCTAGACGGAGTGCAAAGGGACAGTTCCCTTAGCCTCGCCTCACCGGGTAGTCACCTGCAGGCCTTCGCCTTGGCCTCCCCTCACCTGCCTCCTGCCCAGGCTCTGAGGGGCTGACTGGGTCTGAGTCCTGACCCATGCTGGAGATGTGTCTGGTGCTCTCCCGAGTGCTCTCGCAGCCTGGCACAGGGCATGGAAGTGGAGCCAAAGCCACAGCAGGCCGGATGCTTGTGGCAATGATCTACTGTGATGGGGGTAGGTAGGGGGATGCACAAATGCACAGCCAGTCCCCAGGGCTCTTCCCATCATTCCCTGGGGGTGGGCTGCCTCCTCCTGGACCTCGGTTTCTCCATTTGATAAGTGGCACGCTCCTCAATTCCAAAGCCAGGACACACCAGAGGAGACAAAGGAGTGCCATGGTGGACACATTTCAGCTGGGCAGGGAGGGGGAGTCTGGCCCGAGGCATGTGGTCTCTGCCTCAGGGGGCCTGGCCAGCAGCATGTGGGTGGGCCCGAGCTGACCCTAGGAAGGACACGTGCGAAGTCCAGGAGGAGGGGGCCTGGTGGTAGGGTGAGGCTGCAAGGGAGTATATCTGTGGGGTCCACCTCAAACCCCCAAACCTTCAAACCCTGGTGCTGGTACCCTAGGGCAGTATCCTGGAATCACACCAGGGTGGGGACCAGGAGAGAGTACCATCTCTTTGCATCTGCACAGACCCAGCAAACTAGAACCAGGGATGTGTCCTTGTCTCTCCCTCTCCTCCTCTCCCAGAGCCTCTGCGTTGAGTGCCAGGGCATGAGTGGGCAAGGAGATGCCGACAGGTGCCAGCCCCACCTTCTGTGCACGGGAGGTCTATCCAGCATACTCCATGCCATCTACAAGGGAAAGACGATTCTCCTAGTCAGGGAGAATCCAGGGTAGGCTTCATGGAAGAGGTGATATTTTAGCTGGGCCTTAAAAGCCTGGAAGGGGGGAGGAAGGGCATTGCAGGCTGCTCAGAGGAGGCAGTGAGTAGCTGCTGATGAGAAGGAGCTGCAGCCCTTTGAACTCTGCATTTCGACCATGGCCCCATGAAGCAGGTACCTATACACCACAACTTCACAGAGGAGGAAACTGAGGCAGAGGGAAGGTACCACAGTGACCCACGGCTGGGCCAATGGACGAGCCAGGATTCGTAGGCCCAAGCACTCACCACTGCCCTGCGGTGCATTCCACACAGGGTTAAGTGCCAAGGGTAGAGCTGGTGGTGGCTCTCAGGTAAGAGGGTGACAAGATGGTCCCCAGACATCAACAGGACCACATGGGAAGCCCAGAACTCTGCTGAGGATGCTCTTCATCCTGGGATGCAGAGCCCAGCAAGGTCTATGAGCACAGAGCAACTGCTGACTGAGATGGGGTGCAGGTGGGAGGGTGGAGAGGATGCACTGGCAGCTACCAGGGGCTGAGAGGAGGAGACAGGGCCTTGAGCTCGCCTCTGCACACTCTCTCGTGCACACACGGCCATCCTGGCCACCCTCGCCCTGCCCGCCGCTCAGGCCAGCCAGCCCCCAGGGCTGGAGAAAGACATAGGTGGGCCTCATGCCCAGGGCTGGCCTGGATCAGCGGGCCCAGCCCGGGCACGGCGGGTGCCTGTCATACGTGGGTGATGCCAGCATGGGTGCCGCTGGCACGGGCACCCTGCCCTCCATGCCACAGCCCAGGCGGGAGGGACCTACCTCAGGAGGTTCTCCAGGCCCTGTCTGCTAGAGTTCCTTCTCAGGAGCACGGGGCTGCTCATGCTGCGTCTGCGGCCTGGCCTGACCCCAGCTCGGGGATGCTCGGCAGCTTCTTCAAAGGCTCCTGGCTCGCTGGCCGGCCTCTGTCTGGGCGGCCTTTCTGCTCCTCCTGCTCCTGGCCCCCTCCCCTCTCTTCTTCTCTTTCCTGTCCTTTTCTCCCTTCCCTTCTCTTCCTTTCCCTCCCTCGCTTTCTCTGTCCCTCTGTCCCTGTGGCTGACTGGTCCCTCTTTGGCCCTAGCTCCCCCTCCCCTGTCCCCTGCCTCTGGTTGTCTGTCTGGGCTCCTCTGACCCCTGGGTGGGGGTCTCCCAGGCTGGCTCTCTGCTGGCACTTGCTCCCTGCTGTGTGTCCCTGTGCCCCTGCCTTTGCGGGTCCTGCTGGCTCTGTGGGTCTCGTTCCCCTCTCCTCCTTCAGGACTCCTAGCAGCTGCTTCCCTTTTGTTCCCCCCAGCCCCCTTCTCCGCCCCCCTCAGTCTCCTCCACCTCCACCTCCTCCTCCTTCCGAGACTAGTAAAAATGTCAGAGAGAAAACCCTCCCAGCCCAGCAGTGTGGGGGCTCAGCTGGACCGCGGTGGCCCGTGGTGGGCAGCGGGCTGCCTCTTTCTTCCCTCCCTCCCTCTACTTCCCCTTCCTCCCTCTGCCTCTCCCCTCGGGCCATTTTGGCAACTGCTCCCTGCCTCCCAGGCTCCCCTTCCTGCTCCCAGGGTGCCTGGTCTACCCATTGCTGCCTCCCACCTCGCCAGTGCCTGCTGCCCTCTCCCCTGGCCCTGGCCCTCTCTGGCCCTCCTCTTTGTCTCTCCTCCATCTGTCTTTCTAGTCCAGCTCTCCTGGACCTGCCTCCTCTCTCCCTCACTTTCCTCTCCCTCACCTCTGCCCTCAACCCAGGTCTGGTCCCTTTGCCCCCCTCCTGCTCCTGGCCTCACTCTCAGCCCCTCTCTCCTCTCCCTCTAATGTCTCTGTCCCTATCTCTGTCTCCCTCCCTCCTTCCCTCTTCCATTCCCTTCCTCTCCCCTCCCTTCCTCTTCACCCTCTTCCCCTCCCTCTTCCCCCTCCCTACTGGTTCTCCATCTTCTCTTTGTTTCTTTTCAGCCCTCTGCCCTTCTTAACACCCCAAGGGGGAGGCCAGGGCACCCCAAGATTCCTCTCTGTCTCCGCATGGCAAGGCTAATACCCTCCCATCACCCCCAGGCTGCACTCAGAGCAGAGACTTGGGAGGCAAAGACGCCTATGATGTGGCATCTTCTGTTTGGTCCTGGGGAGCTATAGTCCCAAAGCGGCCAGCAGGCACAAGGTCAGCCTGGTGCCCTCGCCAGCCGGGTTTCCATCGCCCCCCATCCTCTGGCCAAGGCTCAGGGAGGAGCAGCCCAGCCCGTTGTTTTTCTGGTTGGGCTTAGTCCTTAGTTTGAGTCCTGTGACTCACTGGAGAACACTTGAGGCTAGTGGCTGGACAAGGGGAGGGACTGGCCTCACACTCATGGAGAATCAGCGAGGGCCAGCTCTGCCCGCCGGTAGCCTGCCCAGCCCGGAGATGCTCACGACCACCCTGAGACAAATGCCATGGTACCCATGTCCCAGATGGTAAAACTGAGGCTTAACCAGCAACACTCTATGGTGCCCTATGTCATAGAGCTGGAGCCTGGCAGAGCTGGCCATCCCAGTGCCCCCTCAGGGCCATCACCTCTATGTGAGCACCTGGCCAGCCCCTGCCCCCTCCATCTCTACATCCACACCCACAGAGAACTGGATGCCCCTCTCATGTCCCCAGCTACTGTGACCTCTGGCCAGCTCAGGCAGTCAGAGCTATGGAATGCCAGGGGGTACTGAGTGGACCAAGGAGAAGGTTATAATCAGATGGGCAGGAGGGTGACCATGTGAACAAGCCATCGCATGAAGGCTATGTGTGTTGGAGGTGGCAGCAGCAGGTGAAAAAACTCCACGGGCCCACAGCTTTGGCCTACGGTGACTCAGATGGTGGGCCGGCCAGTGGAGACTGCAGGGGTCAAGAAGTCTGCTGCCCTCACCCCCATGCACACATCAGGCAAGCTCCAGGGCCAGTCCTGGGACCAAAGGAATCCCCCAACCCCTACCCACCTCACAAACAACTCAGGAGGAGCCAGAGATTGTCAGCGTCCGGCACCCATTGAACTGCAGAGACCTCAGGATTCTGGCAAAATAGGGAGGATTGGGAGAGAAGGGCTGGGCAGACATTCGGCAGATCACCCAAGTGAAGCCAGCTGGTGCTTCATTTGCATCTCAACCTGTGCATCTCCTTCTTGCCTCCTGGTCTTAGTTCTGGAGTCCCAACCACAGTTAGCCAGAAGAGAAATGTAGCGAAAGCATGTTTGATCTAGAAGAAGGAAGCATAGTCCCACAGGGGAGATGGTTCTCTTGGGATGGCAAGAGTTCCCTGCCACTAGAGAATGGCCATTTCTCATAAACATTGATGCATGGGAAGTGACAAGAACAGATTTTTAAATGCAATGGCCAAGATTCATGGTTTTATAACTAGGGCATGTCTTCATGGGAAAAATAGGGGAGAATATTTTATACCAGTTCTACTATTGTCAATCCATCCACCCATCCATCCATCCACTCACCTGTCGCTCTAACCATCCGCCCATCCATACACCCCCATCTACCTGTCCAACTCTCCACCCACCATCCATGTACCCATCCCACTCATCTACCTCTCGATCTTTCCATCCACTCATTCATCCATCTCCTACCCACTCACAACCCATTCATCTATCTAACCACCCATCCTCCACTCACCCCCATCTATCTATCCATCTCTCCACCTACCTATTCATCTATCCATCTCACCCATTTATTTATCCATTTGTCCACCACCCACCCTTCCATATCTACCCATCTATCCACCCACCCATTCACCCATCTCTCCACCCACTTACTACCCCTTCATCCATTCATCTAACCATCCAGTCATTCCTCTACTCATCCTCTCTGTATAAATGTCTGTATTTCTATGTATCATATATCAACAAATCAAACTCTCAATGCATCTTTCCCTCTAGTTATCTATCTAAACATAATATATCCTATCGTTCAATCCATTCAAGCATCCATACATATATATCCACGTCCTTCTATCTCTTTTTGTATTTCTCCATTGAATCAATATCCATGCATTCATTCACTTAATGAAATGTCTTCATATGTATAAACACTTTAAAGAAGCATTCAGCAAGCCATTCACTCATTCAGATCATAACCACTCATTGCTCGTCGATTGCTATTACCTATATGTTCACCCAGTTAGCCAACCAGTAAGCTATTGTCCTTTTCATAACATTAATATATTTTTCTATTTCCAAATATTCTTATTTTCATTAATTTCTCTGAATATTCACCTATGTACCCATACCATTTATACATTCAGTTATACATCTGTCTGTCTATCTGTCTGTCCTCATATCCATCCATTTTCCTATCTGGCAAGCCATGCATCCAATTATGCACACATAAATAAGTGTTCTTCTTAACACATACTTGCTATTAAGTCATCCAAATGAGTTAATATTTAAAACACTAATTGGGGGACCAGCAGTTAGCGTAATGGCTATGTCGCTGGACTCCCATGTAGTCGACTGCAGTTTGAATCCTTGACTCAGTCGCTTAAACTCACACCGGGTGCATGTGCATGAGTGCCCAAGATCCCAAGAGGAGAATGGAGGAGAAGGGGGTTGTGGTGGGGCCATCCCCGCTGGGGCGTGATTTCTCGCTTTTTGTCTCTCTCTCTCTCTTTGTCTTTCTGGTGAGTGCATGCGTCCTATAGCAAAAATCTCTCAAAAACAACAACAACAAAACCCACAAAACAAAACAAAAAACTCTAATTGGAATACAATCAGCCCTCAGTCAATATTACAGATTATTTTCACCCATCCATTCATTCATTTAACAATCACCTGTCGTTATTTCTCCATGTTCCCATATATTTGCCCATATATCTATATATTTATTAAATAAATTTTTTCTGAATTCCAGGCACTATTTATTTATTTATTGTAGTTTTTGTTACAGGGCATCTGCGCTCACCAGAGAGAGAGAGAGAGAGAGAAATTACCCCTCAATGGGAAATAGTCATGCTGTAATCCCTTCTCCTCTAGTCTACTCTCAGGATTTTGGGCATGCACACACATGCACACACCCAGCATGATTTTTTCAAGCTGCTGGGCCCAGGACTTGAACCACATAGACAGTCATGTGGAATTCAGTGCCTTAACCTCCACGCTACCTGCCGACCCTGAATTCCAGGCACTTTTAAGGTGCTGGGTATGCAACATTAACAAGCAAAGTCTCTGATCTAATAATGCTGACGTTTTAGTGGGAACAAGTAAATAGGTAAATACATGCTGGAATATATAAGACAATGATAACTGCTACAGAAAGTATAAGTGTAAGGGGATGCGGAACTCTGGAGGGATTGATATAGTCAAGAAAAGCCTCATGGGAAGGATTAAACTTTTTTTTCTTTGAAGGAGACTTGAGTGAAATGAGAAAGAGCAATATGAGAGGTCTTCAAAAAATTGTGCAAAATATGTATCAAAAACCTATGCATGGATTTCACTATTTTTGTATCAAAATAAACTCATTCTTTAATTTTATTTTTCCATAAACTTCTTTTCGTCTTTGTTTTTGTTTTGTCTTGTTTAATTTGTGAAAGTGAGAAAGCACTGTCCAGAGAGGATGACCACACTGCAATCCCTTCACCTCAGTTTTCCTCTTGGGATTTTGGGCATACACATGCTCCTATGGTGGTTTTCAAGCCACCAAGTCTGGACCTTAAAGCACGTAGTCAGCCATGCAGGATCCAGGCACCTTAACTACCATACCACTGGCTGGCCCTCCATAAACTTGTTGAAATGCCTTTCAGAAAAAAAGGGCAAGTTTCCTGACTTAGGGGTGTCTGTTAGATCCATTTACCTCTTCAATAATTCATCTGCCATCACTTCGTCCACCTGTCCATTCATTATCTATCCATTTATCTTTTTATTTATCTGTCTTTTGTTACTCCCACCCATCTCTCTATCTATCCATTCCTTCATTATCCACATCTAACCATACTTCTACCTTTCTTGATATCCTACTAATCTGTCTAGGCATTTGTCAGTCTACATTCTACTCATTGACTCTTCCACTCATTCATACTTTCTTTTTTAAAAAAAATTAATTAATTAATTAATTATTATTATTTTATTGGAGAGGTTTATGCTATAGGATGCATGCACTTGCCAGACAGACAGAGAGAGACAGAGAGACAGAAAGCGAGAAATCACCCCCCAGGGGGGACGGCTACGCCACAATCCCTTCTCTTCCATTCTCCTCTCGGGATCTTGGGCATGCACGCACACGCGCCCGGTGTGAGTTTAAGCCACTGGGTCCAGGACTCGAACCACGATCGGCTATGTGGGAGTCCAGCGACATAGCC